CCAAGAATATTCTGCTCTACCGGAGACGATCGATTTGACAATGAAAATCATATTAATATTTTGTCCAATTTTTGCTCAAGTTTTAATTCAATATTTAAAAAAAATGTATTCAAAGGAGTTTTGAGTGTTATAGAATTAATAAGATGTTCAAGTGTTTTATTCTTAATGCTCTCTCTAGCTCTGTAGAGTACTGTAGTTTTAATACTTTCTTATCGTACATATTTTAATAATATTAATCGCTTGGGCACTTCCTAGGTATGTTTTAAGCAAATAAAAATAGTCTAAGTAACTCATTATAACATCACCTATCTGCCAGTGAAAGCCCCGTCAAAGTCGCTCCAGCCGTTTCGGAGATTAGCCGGAACACACAGACAGACAGAAAGACAGATAGACAATAAATTTAAAAATGTTGTTGTGACGATACTAACAGACACTTCAATCTTATTTATTTGTATTAAATAGAATTTGAATTTTATTCGTCGTGGTATCATTTAAAGTAGAACCGATGCGGAAAGCCGCGAACAGTAGCTAGTATCTTTGCAAAGCCTTACGAAGGACATCCGGATGTGCTGCCGGATTATAATAAACCTTGTTCCTTTTACTTAAGGTTCAGGGTTAATTGCATTATTTCTTCGCATCAGTATATAAATAGAAGCAAACCTTGATAGGGACTTATCGGATCTTACTTTTTGTATATTTTTTGCATTTGTGATACAAGTATCTACATTCTTTAGCTATTTCTTGTATAGATATAGAGATCTCGTCGATACCACGTGTTGGATCGCTTTAGCCAAATTTAATTATCTTAATCACGTCACGTATAGACCAATATCTTAGAAAAATTCACAGAAGAACATTTACACAAAATATTGAAGTTTTACTACAAAACGATAATTCCAACGAAAGGTCATAGTAATACGTGGAATATAAGGAAATATGGTGAGGCAATAATATTAATCGAAACTATTATTGAAAGTTCAATTTACGTCTTGTATAAACTATACGCAGTGCTACATTACAAAAACAAACATATATGTTCAGCTTTTATATATAAAAGAACTCATTGCTCGGTTATTTTTACATAAATAAAAACTAGATTAATTTTGATAAAATTCCGCTATTTACATAACCAAATAAAATTGGCAAGATTAGTAAAAGCCATTTAACGTTCTATAAATAGAATAAGAAATGCCTTTCCGTTATAGCCCATATATAAATGATATAAACCTTAAGTAAAAATCAATGAATTGGTTCGAGAATCGGTTTTATATTGAGACGTATTTAATATAAACATTTAATATACCAATAAGTGTAAGTGTACATACTAGTGTGTTGTTATAATTTTCCTCGTGGAAAATTAGAATATTTTACAACGCAATACGAGGTTACTCTGTCATACTATTATGAAATCAAAAGTTTGGACTTTTGGTACAAAATTAGTGTCAAGGAACCATTTTAACTCTACAATAGTTAATATGAAAATTCTTACCACACTCCAAGAAGAAAGCTTCCAGACTTCACAGTCAAAAATATTACGTAAGTGGTTACTTATAGTTTTTCTTCACCAAGTCGCCTTCACTCCACTGCGAGATGCGATATTTCAGTCTCGGGTTTAAGAATTTGGATTTTTTTTACAATATTTGTATGGGAAAAGAGAAATAAATGTAAAATAAAATGGAGGCGCTAAGCTTTCTTGCTGTTTAGGGTCACAGTAGAGGGTTTGTTTGCGCATGCGCGTGTTGCAACCCCTCGACTCGTTCGGAAACCAACCCCTATTTTTTTATGAAATGGTAGTTTCTATTATTTGATCAGTGAAAATTGGATGAGATAGTGACTTTAGTTTATGAAATTTTTGTTCTTCTTTAACAAAAAATCAAAACAAAATGTTTATATTTTTTTATTATAATTCTTAACACATATATATATATGTCACATCACATCTATCAGTTCTTCTTTGGTAGAGAGGCAAACAAACTAACACACTTCTGAATCTATAATATTAGGTACTGAGGATAAATATTTATTAATAGCGTAGATAGCTAGTTTGATTAGCGTTCTACGTAAAATTATAAACTGGTCATGTATATACCTTTTCTTGCTTTAAGAATCGAACGAAATTTTCATGATGAAAATAAGAGGCTAAGTAGGTATTACCAAGGATGTATATTTTAATAAGAAAGAACAAATTATACAATTTATTGGACGTTATTTATAAATACTAGTTATAATAATAGATTTTATGGAAAGAATGAAAGTGTGACATTTAGGATAGTTTTTTTATTGAACAAGAAAAACAAAAAATATACCTGCCATTTCGACCCGTTGTATCTAACTTGCCACTTAGCACAATACTCGAATCGCGCTAACTAGCTCTCAGAATATCAATGAGTCTACCCAATTTTTATCATTTAGGGAGTATAGGGCATTTCATTTAAATAATATTTGTGTCAAAATGACCTATTTCTTTTTTCTATTTGCCGTTTCCTGCCTTAAAAGTGTGGAAAATCGCTTTTTATTGAACTATTCTGGGCAGTGCCATCTGTTGACATCTTTAGAAAAAAATGGTATACCATCACACATTAACAGGAAAATATGCCATTATAGCATAACATTATCGTCATGCTGCACAAGACCAGTTTATGGTCTACGGTGTACTTAACTTTGTTAAGGTTTTAACCTGATTGAGAAAAAACTACATTTTCTTAGATTTAAAATATTTGACATTTATACATACGTAAAATTCTGAGTCAAATCTGTACATTAAATATTTTTTGGAAAATCTTATTGAAATAGTCATTATTATCGATACAGAGCCCGAATCTATAGTTTTTAGAATTTTTATCTGTCTGTCTGTCTGGGAACGCATTACGAGAAAACTACTGAACAGATTTTGATGAAATTTGGTATGATGATAGCTTGTTATCCGGGTAAACATATAGGATACTTTTTACTGCAGGAAAATATATCATCTCTGTAAAATTTATACTAAACGTCAAAACGTAACGAGGGGTGAACCCGAGCGGAGCGAGGGTAAGTCGTTAGTTTTAAGTAAAACTGTCGGAGCCACAAAAGAGACTCTCCGATGACCATGGGGTCTTTCGTGTTTTGCTGCAAAGCATTCCTAATATCGGGAACCCAAAAATTTATAATTTTTTAAACAGACTAAAAAATTTCAACTTATATTAAAAAATATTATCATTATTATAATGCTAACTGTTTTAGTACCATTAGTGATCTATTTTCTTTGGCTATACATTTCATATCTGAGGAATTATTTACTTAGTGCTTTTAAATAAAAATATCTCTTCGTATTTTTAAGATATGAAACTCTGGAAACATCGGGAACCAAAAATCATAAGAAATCCGCGAAAACATCCAAAAAGATAGTTTTATTTAAAATGGCAAATATACGCGTAAACCTAAGAAAGTATTACTATCGTGCTTCTTAGTCGATAAGGGTGTAGAAATGACGTTGACACAAGCGTCTTATCTGATGTTATGAAAAAACATCCCTCTTTTATTAAAATAAAATTAAGACGACCGAATTTGTTTTCTTTCCCTTCTCATCGTCGTCCAGTTATATGTTGTAACGAACCCGACTTTGTTATATAATATATAGGTTTAAATAATTATTTTTAATACGACAAAAAATATTATTATTAACCTTTGTTTAATTTACTTTGATGATTTTCGATTGATTTTTTATGTCCACAGTAAAATGTAAATTTTTAGTGATTCAAGGTTATATTATTATTATTTACTATCAAAACATTTGAGTTGCATCAAAACAAAACAAGCATGCAATTTGCAAAGCTGACCAAAGCTAGTCTGTATATATATAAATCAAAATCGTCGGTGAAGGTGAACATTAAAACAACAGAAAAACTATAGAAATAAAATTTGTATTTCACAGTTCAGAAATGTAATACATTAGTATTTAATAAAATATACCTATCTATGCTACTTTTGCAATAACACTTCGAAACTTACGTTAAACATTATACACTAGTGTATACACAAGGTATCCTGCTCGTTACCAAAATATATTCTATTATATGTAGAAATAAACGAAATAAAACCATAGATATTGATGGGATAAGCAAGTTTCTTTTACGAATCGTAAATATTATTATTACTACGGGACCAAATTCATCACCTTGTGGCATGCCACACAAACTCCATAACTTAAAACCATAAGAATCACGTCGGTTAATTTTATATAACATAACTCGATTATTAGAAGTTAGTTAAAAATAAATTAACACCCTTATTTAGTAGATTTAGTGATTATTATGAATTTATCTACGATCATCACTATCCATGGCTTCGATGAAATTATTTAATTTGTATCGCTCATTTACATTTCATTCTAAAGGAGTAACATAACATAAATGCGACAGTTGAAACAAACAAACAAACATTTTTGTATTGGCAAAAACATATTTGGCTATTATCTAATCTATATTATATATTTCATACTAAGTATAATATACTATCAACAAAGTTAGTAGGTTTGATGTCAACGTCAGCGGTCTCGACCCTAGTCAGTGTTAAAACAGTCTAAAACTAAAATAATATTAACGGCCTTATTAATAAACGGAGAATAAAGAATTCTTCACTCGATTATCGATATATCGATTTGGTTAGTTCTCAATAGAATCGATTTTGAAAATTATTCTCAATATATTCGATTATAAAATATTTGATATGTATGTACATTTTATATATATTTTTTTAATACAAATTTAAATCTGTGTATATGTATTATATATAAGACATATTTTTTTAGATTTCTTTTCATTATTTTAACGTATCTATAATATTATTGGATTTATTTATCTGATTTGGCTTTTATTATTTTGTCTATATTATTTTTAAAACTGAAAACTATTCAGATCTAACCAAAAACTACAAGCAGTAGCAATTTCAACATGATCGAACCTTAGGTTCATTACTTTATATAACGTTTATTACTAAGGCCTTCTTAGCACCGTTATTTATTTGGTCATTCCCTTCGCTCGTCTCTCCCACTCTGCTCTCATTTGTAAAATGCCCTTAAACTGTGGAGATCCATCCGCTTCTTCTTTCTCTTTCCCACTTTCATACTTCTCGCTATCTCCATCCTTTTCTATCACAGTACTATCTCGTTTTTCGGTATCATCTTTCTTTTGCCAAGGTCTTTTTGTTAGAGTATCAGCTTTGAATGCCATTGCATCATTTTTGGTCAAGCTTTTGATATCCTCTCTATCGTTAGATGAGTCTGGAAAAGTTCGATTTCTCAATCTCTTTTCGGGAGTCGAATCTGATACCTCCTTCTTATATTTATTCACTTCGTTTCTAGAGAACACTGGAGCGCTGTCACGTTTTGAAGTGACACTATTTATGCTGACACTCCTTTGGTAGTTTCCAAACTGGCTTACTCTAGCCGCGATATCGACTAATTTGTTTTCCGGACTTTGCTCTTTATTTTCTTCATTTTCTTTATCACTATCTCGAGATTTAATGGATGCATTGAATTCATTTTTTAGTATTTTTGTTTTTGCGGCACTTTCATCTTTTTTTGTCGCTTCCGCTATTTCCTGAGCTATGTGGTCAACTTCAGAATCTTTAAGCTTTAGTGAACGTCGAGCAAAGACTTTCATCAATTCTGGTTCATCATCGTTCTTTCTGTCTCGAGATTCCTTCCCTATAATATGTTTCTTACGAAATACCACTGTTTCGTCTCGATCGGGTATTTTATTTTCATTGCTATCGGTACTCTGGATTGAGCTTTTGCTTCCAAAACTGGAGTGTGATTTTTGATCTATTGATATATTGTCGTCGATTTTCTCTGTACTCCCTTCAGTACTGACAGAGCTTGTTCTAATTTTCTCTACACGTTCGTGGGAGTCGACACTTGCTGATTTCTTTTTGAAAAAATTTTTTGGTGTCGAAGGACTTTGAGGTGTGATATTCCCAGCATTAGATATTTTAGATGAAGTTAGAGATGTTTCACTTTCCACGCTGTCGCTCTTTTTAAAGGATTCTTTTCTTATGTGAGTGTTTTGCGACTTAGACTCTGTTATGAGAAAATTTTCAAGGTCTTGTTCTTTTTCTACTATGGGACTTTCCACTTTTTTTGGTGTCACGTTTGCTGTTAATACTACATTTGTAACAGGTTTAGTATCGACTTTATTTAGTTGTATGTGGAGAAATTCAGGCCCTACATGCTTCTTTGTGCCTGATTTTTGAATTTTCTCATCACTTTTGCTCAACTTTGCTATTTCTGTAGTTTTAACTACGTTAGAAGTTAGGTCTTTATTAATATGAGTCACAGATACGAAGCTTTCTGTATCAATTTTTGCATCATTCTTAACTTTAGTCTGTCCCAAAGCACTTTCAACCGAAATGGTCTTCCTTCTATCATCCATTGGTTTTTCGGGACTACTTTTTACACTGTCCAAAGAATTTGATTTGAGTATTGGGGATATAATAGGTTTAGGTGAACTAATGATGTCATCTATTTTAGCCTCTATTTGGGAAATGTCGCTATCACGTTTACTTTCCATTGTGATTTGAATGCTATTCGTGAAAAGCTTGCAGTCATCGTTTACATCAGGCTTTAAGCTGTCCAGGTAACTGCTGTCAGTACCGGTACTGGGCAAACTATCAAAGTTTTCCTCATTGGCTTGAAGAATGTAATTTCTCGCGGATACTCTTTTAGAATAATCATGCCTTTCACTGACATTGCGCCTATAGTTAACTTCCCAACTTTCGAGCAAAGGCTCTGAAATACCTACGATCGCGGGTAAACTTGGCATTTGGTTTTCTTGGGAACTTATAGATGGGGACTCTGACGCGTATCGGAAACTATGCGATTTTCCAATACTGCTTCGTGCTTCAACGAACTCTTCACCCAAAGACCTCAAGCCGGAAGTAACATAAGATTCTTCAGTTCTGCCAACATGATGGAATGTTTCACGTTTTGATATAATCTCCTTTTCCCGGAAATCAGACGCTTCAGATGACCTACTCATATATTTCATGTTTTCTGAGCATTGCGCCATAGTTTTTGTTGGAGATGATCCTCCTGGATGGAAGTATGGCAGATTTTTCGGCATACTCCCACTGTGGAAGACGTAGTCATTGCTTACACTCTTAATTCTCATTCCGCGCAGTTCTTCATCATGAACATCGAAAGTTGATGGCCTTTCCTCTTGAGCTCGACCTGCTATTTCATTGTTAATGAAAGATTTAGAAGAATACGGATCGATCAATCTCTGAATGGACTGCGGCCGTTTCGACTTGTCGTGATGCAAGTTGAACGATTCACGTTTGTCTTCAAAACTCTCTTTCGAAGAATGCTTTATATTAAATTCCTCCCGTCTACTGAAACGATTTTTTATTTCTTGATTTAGCATTTTATCGGTTTCTTCTGCGATTTTGAGATCAGCTATGTTATATTCTACTCCTGGTACTTTGGCTGCGCTGTACACGTCTTTGTACGCGCCATCGTGTATGTATGCACCTTTATTGTCTATCCGTTTATGCATTTGGTTTGCGAAAACCTTCTGACCGGCAGATTTATAGGACGACTTGTAACTTTGGCCCTGTTCATAATAAAAGCCTTTCTCGGCTTCAACGGATTTGTATTGGGTTTTCTCAGTTTTCGTTTTCTTGACTTCCTGCTGTCCATCATCTGTTTGGTCTTTTTTGGACTTCTTGCCACTCTTTCTCAATAGCAGTCTACTGAAAAACGACTCCTCTTTCTTGGAAGATCGTATGACTTCGTTCTCGAGTTTTTTCTCCGACTTTGATTTCTTTTCAAGGCAAGATTCTTCGGCGTGTTTTTTGTCGCGATACTTTGGTGTCTGGACTTCGCTGGAGACAGGTGAAGCTTCACGTAGAGGTTGATCCTGTGTGCTTGATTTGCTTCGTTTTATGGAAGATCTTGATGTATTTTCAGGGATACTCAGTTTCGGGGATTGTCCCAGTTGACTGAGGGCGAGTCCAGGGGGTAAGGAAGATGATTTTAGTTTAGTATCGCTGTTCTCGAGAACTTTCTGCAGCTCCCGGGTGAGTTGGGGCTGCTCTTTGTTTATCATATGATGCTTCGTACTCGATGAAGAGAATGATTCTGGAAAAGAAATAGAAATAAGTTATTATTAAGAAACTTATTAATATAAAATTTAAAACGAGCGTTAAATTCTTACGTATTTTTTTTAATTAGTCTGTTTTGAAGTTCTTTACGATCTAATATTTCATATTGTATTTCATGTTTAAAAGAACTAACTACTATTTTTTGGCTATTTATTATTACGTTACGTTTAGAGAAATAAATCTAAATTCATAGAAAATATTATTTTGACCAAGATATTAATTGCATACCAGTAACAACTTCTGAGAGCTTGTGTATGACATCAGGAGTAGTGCTTCGTATCATTTCTTCGTTCAACTCGGGAGTTATCGGCAAGGCTGAAGCGGCAATCTGAAATATTAATAAAATACTTATAAGACCTCAGAGTTAGGAATAATATAGTCATATTATTATATCATAATTTTTAAATAAAAGTATAGTATACAAACGATAATTTGTATACTGAGTGATAAGTAAATAAATATGAATAAATAAACATAGCTAACGAATTTAAATATAATGAAGAAAAAAAATCAAATAAGCTAATTTTATGCTATCTCTCTTTCAAGGGGAAGAGAACTAATGCTTAAAAAACACAAAAGCATAATAGTATTAATTATATTTTATCTTTAAAAATTGTATATTAATTTAACTAATACATATGTATATTAAATTTCCCTTATTATTTAAAGAAAGTAAACGGCTATATTTAGAATAGTAGCATGAACAGCAAATCGCGCTACTATTTTTGATTTTGACATTTATTTCGGCGGACTCCATGTAGCCACAATAAAAGAATGGAATTGAATATATATTTTTAATATTAGTAAAAAACTTATGCAATGCCTTTATATATTTTTGTACATATCTGTACATTTTTTCTACATAAATTATTAATTCAGACTGTTTAAGTTAATTTTTATAAATCGTACGTAGCAGGATTTTTTTATTGTTTAAAATCGAAACAAGTACTTATCTTCTAAAGAGATCACACATTGTTACAGATACAGATTAATTGAACTACTATTGAAAATGTGAAATTTCTTTCGATTCACTTTCAACAATTTTCAACATGTGTGTGGAAGCCTTAACAGACGTAGCGTGGAGAACTTAACGATTGAACGGATTTGGATGAAACTTAAATAATAAATACACTGTAACCTGGAGAAACACATAGCTACTGTTAGGCATCTTTGTCGCTAATTAATATATAATATAATATACGTTCTTAAAGGATCGGCAACGCGCATGTGATGCCCCTGGTGTTGCAGGCGTCCATAGGCTGCGGTAACCGCTTACCATCAGGCGGGCCGCATGCCTGATTGCCACCGACGTGGTATAAAAAAAATATATAACTTACAGAGTGTGTTTTCTTCCGGCGCGGCGCTCCGTGCGTGCGTCGCGGGCGCACCGCCATCTTGTGGCGCGCGGCCGAGTGCGATAGGGGGGCCACGCCGGAGGGTGGCTCGGACGAGTCTAGAAAATTTATTATAATATTTATTACACACATACACACGCAAGCGTACACCATAAGCCTTGCGAGTAGATAGAGGGAACAGAGTGCCTAGAATAATATAAATTAATTATTTTTAATTAGGATAAGTATAACCTGTCTTATACAGCGTTACTTTAAACGTGTCATTATTTTGTAAATTGTAACAGTAAATAATCCAATAATGGGATATTTCATAGAACGCTGAAAAAACATAGCCAATAAGACCTACTATTTGTTTTCTTTTATTTATAAAAACAAAATTGAAACAAGCAAACAAATTTTCTAACACAATCTATTTTTATATATATCGATGTGTATATGTACTTGTACATATATTCCCTATGGACTCCTAAACAACTGGAGCGATTTTCATGAAATTTTCAGAATTTTCAGACAAACTTCAAAGTAGTCCAGCGGGTGATTCTGTGAAGTTTGGTAGCGATTAAAGTTAATCGCGAGTGAATCTACGGTTACTGCTAGTAAATATATATATAGTATACAAATAAAGGACAAGTATACGCACTATACAAATCGGAGTGATCGCTTCTAGAGTGGTCGTGTTGGTGGCCACTAGAACTGTCCTCGTCCATCTCGGACGAGCCCACGCTGAGCAGCGAGCCATCGCTGCACGACGACTGCGATATACCGGGGTGATGATGACGCTGAAATCACAATGTATAAGTTATAATCTACATATTTTCTTTATATGTGTTACAGTAAATATTATCAGTTTAAATTACGCATCGAAAATCTCAGCAGGCTCTCAGCTCATCTACAGATGTATATAATATTGTACGGAGTAAACGTATCAATATATATTTATAAATAATTATTGGCAGACAAAACAAAAAGTTTTTTTAATGGGGAGTCGCAATGAACCACGATTTCTCGATGGCTGTCTGCCGTGGGGGACTGCCATAACAACGATGGGGTTGTTCCAACGGTTCACTCTGCTATTAGGAGTACCAAGAGAAATTCGCATGGTACTACCACTATGAGCTACCTCCCAGCGGGTTTTTTTGGCTTTACTCTTGGATGATGATTCCTACAATGACAAGGTGAATACACATTGGTGCTATGTACTTATGGCCCTACATCAAAAGCGCTACAATAAACAGCCAACAATGACGTCATAAATTTATGTACAAGTTACAAATGTATCACAATTGAGTAAATTGTTATTTTTTTATACAATACAAAAAAATACAAGATCGCAGTTCGAGAAACTTATAAGAGTATCTAAACATCGTGTTACTATCTTTTTGATATTCGAAAAATTATGATACGCCGTAAAGATATGTCATTTCTGAAACGCTGATAAAAACTGTATACAAAAATTTATGAAAACTGTATGAAAAAATCATAATAATTTAAAATATTTTTACAAGGTTTTTCTTATAATTCAAGTTTATATTTTCTAACAAAATTGGAATAAAATATAAATAACCATTACACAGTGCTCCTACTATTTGGAAGACGGTTAAAAAATAATCATCTATAGAAGAAGTAAAAGACTTTATAGCGATTGTTACTCTCTTCTGGCTTACAATTAATTAGACAGCATTAGGCATTGATATATAAAAATATAGATACAAATTTCCTATCAAATATCTCTTCAAAAAGTGGCGTCGACATGTGACGTTAAGTCAAACCAAAGCATAAGATTCAAAAGTCTAAAGTTAGACTCGTGTTTAGACAACGATTTTTTTTAATTCGAACTTACACCACATAAAGTAACTTTTTTAATAAAACAACGTGCGTTTTGATTTAGTCATCCGAAAAGCAATGTGTGCACTTCTTTTTTGAGGACACTTTTGAGACGCTGTGTATTTTGAGTTTTTGTACATCAATGTCACTAAGTTTTTAAGGCATGGATGTCAAAATTTAGGCAAAATCAAATAACAATTCAATTCTTTTGTTCTCTTTCTCTTTTTTGACCACAGATTACAACAAATATGATGTTCTTCTGACCGATTTCGGCCACGGCGGCCAATCTCATTAAGACTAGCCAACTACGCAGGAGATATTATAGTGCACAAGTGTACGCGCAGACACAACGTGCACTCTCTATTCCTGTCACTCTCATACTCCGGTGGGACGACTGCTCAACACGACCAGTGAGAGTTAAGGCGCAGGACCGACGGGTTTACGTGCTCTCCGAGGCACGGGGGTGAAACACCGCCAACTTCCCAACTCCGGGCTGAGGCTTAATATACCGAAAGACTCAATAACTAAACTTGGCCCGACCCGGGACTCAAACCCAGGACCTCCGGTTGTGCAGCCGTACATGCTAGCCACTACACCACCGAGGCAGTTACAACAAATAACATACAATGTATGTATATTTTTTTGCATTTTCACATTTCTTTCAAATAATTTGTCTTAACTCACGCTTTTTAATCAAATTAATCATATAATGCGACGCAATTTAATTACATATATCAGATTACAAAATAATTGCCAAAACTAATTTTAGCATTTTAAATATTCTACGTCTTATCGATTGCTTATCGATATGACATTCAAGTTATCAACAGACCTTGATATTGGCAGTGATGTGTCGTCTTCTGGGAGGTCGCCTCACATCCCCGCTCGTGTTGGTCACGTACAGCATCATGGTTGCTATTACAACACTAGTCTCACTGTCCCATCACTATTTAATTTTTTTCTTTCATTTTGTTTAGTTTTTTGTTAAATTGTTATATTCTTATAACTACTTTGTGGATAACTATGATTTTTCTTACTGTAATATTTTCAATTTAGATATATATCGATAGCTATCGATTTTATTATGTTTTATGTAAAGCAATACATTTCTATATGTTAAAAATAATATACTCATTTTAAGAAAGTCGATCTTCATCTCGTCGTATATAAAATATATGGAAAGTTAAATTATTAATTTATAGTCAGATATAAACTATTACACGTACATACATACATACGTACGAAATGTAGGGTAAGCACCAACTGCGCTCCCGAGCGAAGCGATAGTCGCTATTTCTTCTATAAAATTGAAGTGTCCGTTTGTGAGTTCAAAATAGCTATCCCGTATTACACGAATATGGTTATCTGCCTAGTACGAGAGTCCCGTTAGAAATTATACATAATACAAACATTTCTAGCAATGGCAGTGTCATTAGCTGAAAAATTAAGTCAAAACAACATGTTTAGTATATTCCTTCACGACCGCGGACACGCCGGCGTTACAGTTAACAATAGATTTCTTAGAAATTTAATAAATTTCTTAGAAATTTACCTGGAGGTGTTAATAAAAATATGTACATATATTGTTATTTTATATCATCTCAACATGCAAGCGTAGTTACAAGCCAACGCTAGTATTACACACATATCTCGTTTAATCTTAAAACATATTCCCTAATGCCTGCTAATCATTCTTAACTAGAATCTTTGATAGACAGACGACTTGAGAAATCCTTAACATAAATGGAAATGTACGAAGATCGCTTGCAATAAATCGTTAAGTTTACGATCAACAAATTACCGTTTTTATAGATATAACTAACATGGAACGAATTGAATGCATCATAGTATTTAAGTATTGCAATAATGATACATCAAAGTATAGAGTTTTGTCTTCTAAGTAGCATGTTTATGTATAATATTTTAATGACTTTAAAATGAGCCCTTTTTGTACGATATGGTTAACAGTTGCTACATACTACCGGATTTTGTACACGTCAGATCCGATCTAGTTTAAAATACAAATCCTTTGTTCCTATATATATCTGGATCAAATGGCACAACATATATTATTTAAAATGTAAAAAATACTAACTTCTATACGTATAATAAAATTGTAACTGAGCCGAATCTGTACATTAAATATTTTTTTGGAAAATCTTATTAAAATAAACATTATTATCGATACAGAGGCTGAATGTGAATCTATAGTTTTTAGAATTTTTGTCTGTCTGTCTGTTACCGCATCACAGAAAAACCACAGGAGGGATTTTGATGAAATTTGATATGATGATAGCTGGTTATCCGGGTCAACGTATAGGATACTTTTTAGCGCGGGAAAATATCTCATTTCTGAGAAAAAATACAAAAACGGCTATGTAAGAATATACTAATATTATGTAAAACCTAACAATTTGGTTTTTTGTCATCTGAACGCGGGCGGAGCCGCGGGCAATACTTGTCATTAATAAAAATATTTACTTTTGACATTGACTCCTAAATGGGACATAAAGAGGACTTTTTACGTCTTCAAATACATGTATTGTCTAGGAAATGGTTCTCAATGCTGCATTTCGTTCAGTGCGAACTAAGCCCATAAGCATAAAAATGATAGTAAACCCTACTTTTAATGTAATTTTACCTTTTAATGTATCTTTTCTTTTAACAAGTAATTTTAATTTTTTTTATTGTATGTAAAAAATTTATAAGCAAAAAAATATGTTTTATACATATAGTACAAGCAATAATATATAATATTATGCTATTGAAATCTTCAACATGACGTACGTATGTAGGTATTCGGGTTCAATTGGTACATGATTACGATAACCCAACAGACATGTTGACGAACAGCTCTTTTAGATAAAAGATAGCTTGATAACATATTGACAAGAAATTAAAAATGGTACAAGCCATTTAAATTTTAAATAATAGAAAAATATATATTAATATTAAAAAGCGAAAGCGAGTGTGTTTTTGTATTTTTGTCACGTGAAAGTTATTTGTCTTTGCTAAGTAATGAATGGCCGTAAGTTTTAATACGTGCATGTATTCTTGATTTAAATATTATCATATAATATAATATTTTCTGAAAAAAAAAATACTGAGAAAATGCAATATTAAAGAAACTGTACAACAAAAATTTTTTGATTTCATTTTCTTATTCAAAGTACAGTCAAAAGATTATGGAGAGTAAAGAATATATTTATCTTCTCAGTTTAATCGTTGCACTTTAATTGTATTATAGACAAGGAGACATATTTCTTTTTTTAAGTCGATTAAAGACGTGATCATTACCTTATGTTGGATCACAAACTTCAAATCTCCAACTTGCCGGAAAATTTACTTTGATTTGTGAACAAAAACCAACATGACAGGAATGATCATAAGTGCTTGTAAACCTGCAAAAGCCAAGCCAAACGCCCTCTCGATATGTTTGAATTTGTTGATAGTTTGTGATTAGCAAGCGTGTGGGACCAGCATTATAATACTACTGTAGCTACTTTTTTTACTTTTTTTATTTCTGCATAATTAATTTTAAATCTACATTCAAATTGTACACGATCGGCAAGAAAAAGTGAACACGTTTTTAATTCAAATACAATATGAAATTAACATTGCAGTAGCTAGAAATCTAAATAGCTTGTCACCTTGAAACGCTATATTTTATGCCACACTACACAGCATTATAAAATAGATACAGCAAAATTGAATTGTTCTTCAAAAGTTCTTTGATTTTAGTTAAATGAATTATAAGTTGTATTTTATAGATGCTATGTAACGAATATGTTAATTATGTAATTTAAATGTAAAAAAACTACTACACAGTACATAGCAAATTTTTAGTGAAATATGGTTTAATTCACACTCTTTTTAGTGTTTTATAGGAAAACATTTCTAAGTACAGTTACTAAAATAGGTTGAATGAATTCAGACATTCAGACTTTATAACATT